AACTTCTGTTGACTACTCCCCTCTTTTCAGTAACTACTAATACTTTTGGAGCAGTTAATTTGTGTTGGGCTGTATACTAAATGCTTTACATTCATTATTTCATTTCGTCTCCAACCAAGAGACAGGTATGTACAAATATTGTCTCCATACTGCAGATGGGGAAGCAGAGGCTCAAAGAGGTGAAGCTGCTAGCTCTGGACACAGTCAGGCAGCTAGGGCTTCATCCTTCACCTCCTTCCCCCTCCTCCACTGCTGCCTGCTTGCAGCCTGCTCAAACCTTATTACCATCAGTGACCTCCTCAGTTGCCAAGTGTGGTGGCCTTTCCTTAGAACTGTTCATCCTCAAACTTCCTTTTGTTCTTCATTTTCTTAAAGCTCTCTCTCCTCTGGCTTTTAGACACAGGTTCTCTTCAGATGCTCTCAGTCTCTTTGGAGCTATCCTCTTCTTCCCCAACAGGCCACTTCTCTCGCCACCCTCTTTCATTATGTGATTCTGCCCATGGATTCCACCATCCCATGAAGGTGCAAGTTTCATTACAATTTTCTCATGGGACTGAGACAAACACTTCTAATGTCCCTGACCCAGCATTTAGTAAACAAGTATTCATTTAATTTTTAATCAACAATAACTATGGAGCACCTACCATGTGTAAAGCACTGTGCTAGGCACTGATGAGAATACAATGAATAGGACAGGGTCTTCAGGGCAAAGCAAAAAGGGCTTTGGTTTTGTTCACACAATTGTATACGTATAAGCACAGGGCAAGGCATACTGTAGATGCTTAGTAAATATTTGTTGAATGAGTGACTTAGTTGGGGAGGCAAACTTGCACATAACTGGCTCTAGTTCAGGTTGAATGAAGAGAGTGCGGTCATAAAGGTACTGGCAAGTACTGAGTGTGAGAACCAAAGGAGTGGGCAAGCAAGGGTAAGTGTCTTTATTGAGGTGACATTGGAATTGAGCGTTTAAATCACCCCAGATCCCAAGGGTGTTCAAGAACTAGCAAGTGATATGGTGTGCTCAAGCATGTTGCAGGAGGTAGTGGAAGATGGATGAAGTGACACGATTAAAATTGTGTTTTAGGAAACTCACTGTGGTGCCTGTGTAGAGGATGACATTTTGGGGGGACAGACTGCAAGTGGGAAGACCAGTAAGGCAGCAGCTGCTGCATCATCCAGAAGAGTGGCTGCCTGCCCAGATGAGGCCAATGGCAGAGCAAAAACCAGTGAGGGAGGACGGATGCAAGACTACTGCAGGAGTGCAATCTACGAGGCTTAGCACTTTACTAGATAAAGGGGTAAAAGAAAGAAACAAGAACTAAAAATGGGTTTGAAGCTTCTCACCTGGGTAACTGCATGATGGTGGTGATATTTCCAAAAGAGTGAACAGTGGAGAAGGGGCAGGTTTGACAGAAACTATGGAAGAGGCTGGACAAGATGGCTCACACCTGTAATCCCAGCACTCTAGGAGGCTGAGGCAGGAGGATCACTTGATGGTAGGAGTTCGAGACCAGCCTGGGCAACATAGTGGAGACCCTATCTCTCTACTAAACATTTAAAAATTAGCTGGGCATGGTGGTGTGTGCCTGTAGTCCCAGCTACTTAGGGTGCTGAGGTGGGAGGATTACTTGAGCACAAGAGGTCAAGGCTGCAGTGAGGTAATGATCATGTCACGGTGTTCCGTCCATAGGTGTATCATCTTTTACTTAACTAATCCCTGTTGTAGAATTTCTGACTTTTTCTAGTTTCCTCAGTCCTCCCTCAGAAATGCTGTAGAGAATAATTTAACTTGTATTTAACATTTTTGAGACCATTTCCTTTTTTTTTTTTGAGATAGTGTCTCACTCTGTCTTCCATTTCACAGAGACCCTGTCTGGAAAAAAAAAAAAAAAGAATGGAGAGAGGGAAGAAAGGAAGAAACTATGGAAGAAACTAAGCTTTATTTTTATTTTTGGCATTTTATTTTATTTATTCATTCATTTATTTTTGACATAGGGTTTCACTCCTGTCACTAGGCTGGAGTGGAACAGCGTGCTCTCAGCTCACTACAACCTCTGCCTCCCGGACTAAAGTGATCCTCCTGCCTCAGTCTTCCCAGTAGCTGGGATTACAGGCACATGCCACCACACCTGCCTAATTTTTTGTATTTTTAGTAAAGACAGGGTTTCACCATATTGGCCAGGCTAGTCTCAACTCCTGAACTCAAGTGATCCACCTGCCTCAGCCTCCCAAAGTGCTGGGATTACAGGCGTGAGCCACTATACCTGGCCTATTTTGACATTTTAAATGGGAAATGCTGGTGAGGTGAACAAGTGGAGATATCTAGTAGAAAGATGAAAATATAAGTTGGATTTCAAGAAACTTGGGAGCTTTCAGTGCTGATGCAGGCAACCTACACTGTGGGAACAGATGTGATTTGTGGGAGAGAATTTTCACTCACGCAGAAAAGAGGCCTGATGGCCGTGGACACCTGTTGAACATTTCCGTATTTCTGTCCTGTGGGAGTCACAAATTCAGCATGTCCAAAATGGAATTAATCATCTTTCCACTAAACTCGTTTATCTTCTTGACTTCTCTAGCTATGCAGATGGCACTGACCATTGTCTTAGTTGCCCTAGCTCGAAACCTCAACTATCTTTGTCTCCTACATTGACTTTTTTTCACCTATAGAAAATTCTGAAAATCCACAAAAAAACAACAGATAGGAGATATAATCATTAATAATGAAATCATTTCCGATATTGTGTAGTAAATTCTTCTGGTCATACTCCTATGCGAGTATAGATTTAATTTCCTTTGTACGGGAATCATACTCTACATTTTCAGAGTAATCTTTTTATTGAAGTATAACAGTCATGCAGAAATGTACACAATCATAAGTCGATGGCTTTTCATGTCATTAAATATTCTTTTGCAACATCAATTTTAAAAAGTTGCAAGGTATTCCACCCACTGACGTACCATAATTTAGTTAACTAACCCCTGTTGTGGAACTTCTGGCCTTTTCTAGTTTCCTCATCTCTCCCTCAGAAATGCTACAGAGATGATTTACCTATATTTGACATTTTTGTGCCCATTTCCAATTTTTCCTTAGAATACAGTTCTTCGGGGCAAAATTTCTGGGTCCAAGATATGTGCATATTTTTAAATAAACTTTTTATTTTAGGATAGTTTTAGGTTTAGAGAAAAATTATAAAGATACTACAGTTTCTGTATAATCCACACCATTTCCCCTATTATTCACTTTTTTTTTTTTTTTTTTTTTTTGTGATGGAGTCTTGCTCTGTCGCCCAGGCTGGAGTGCAGTGGCTTGATCTCTGCTCACTGCAACCTCTGCCTCCTGGACTCAGGCGATTCTCTTGCCTTAGCCTCCTGAGTAGGGACTGGGACTACAGGCGTGTGCCACTATGCCCAGCTAATTTTTTGTATTTTTAGTAGAGACAGGGTTTCACCATGTTGGCCAGGATGGTCTCGAACTCCTGACCTCAGGTGATCTGCCCACCTCAACCTCCCAAAGTGCTGGGATTACAGGTGTGAGCCACCGCACCCGGCTATTCACTCTTACAGAAGTATAACACACGTCACGATTGCAACCAAAATTGATACATTATTATTATTATTTTGAGACGGAGTTTTGCTCTCATGACCCAGGCTGGAGTGCAATAGTGGGATCTCGGCTCACTGCAACTTCCGCCTCCAGAGTTCAAGCGATTCTCCTGCCTCAGCCTCCTGAGTAGCTGGGATTACAGGCACGCACCACCATGCCCGTGTAATTTTTGCATTTTTAGCAGAGACGGGTTTTCACCATGTTAGCCAGGATGGTCTCAATCCCCCGACCTCAGGTGATCTGCCCGACTTGGCCTCCCAAAGTGCTGGGATTACAGGCATGAGCCGCCTCGCCCGGCCCGATAACGTTATTATTAACTAAAGTTGATACTTTATCCAGATTTCCTTAGTTTTTACCTAATGTTCTTTTTTTAATTGCAGTGTCACACCCAGGATACCGTATTACATTGTCATGCCTCCTCAGGCTTCTCCTGGCTCTGAGTTTCTTATACTTCCCTTACCTTTGCTGATCTTAACAATTTTGAAGAATACTGGTCATGTACTCTGCAGAATGTCCCTGAATTAGGGTTTGTCTGAGTTGTTTCTTATAATTAGACTGGGTTATGAGATTTGTTAGGAAAGTAGCATAAAGTGCCATTCTCATCATATATCAGTCCACATACTATCAACATGATTTAGCACATAGTCTTGATCACCTGGCTGAATTACTGTTTGCCAGGTTTCCCCACTGTAAAATCACTCATTTTCCCCTTTACAGATGTTGTACTTTTGGGAAGGAAGTCACTATGCACAGCCCACATTTAAGGAGGTGGAAGTTATGCTCCAGGATGGCTGTCTACATAAGTTATTTGAGATTCTTCTGTGGGGGATTTATCTCTTCTTCCTCATTCGTTAATTTATTCAATCACTTATTTATATCGGTATGGGCTCATGAATATTTCTTTTATACTTTGAGTTATAATCCAATATCACTTGTTTTATTGCTCAAGGCAATTTGTAATGTTCTGAGTAACTAAGTGAAGAACCACCCCTCCCAATGTTTGTACCAGCTCACAGGGTAGACGTCATTAAGATCCTTTTCTCTTCAACTTCATAGGCCCACTAAAAAGGTCAGAAAGCAAGGGGGAAGCTGACATCCCTGCCTAGCGCCCAATTTCTGGACGCCCCTAAGGAAGATGAGGCCAGCATGCAGGGGTCTTTCCCCACATGGGCACCTCAACCCGTGAAACGCCCTTTCCCGGCCAGACCTTACTCGGCACCCCTCCTCGTCCCCTGCCCCATCTTCTGGCTTTCTTTGGCTCCGCCCACCACAGGGCGGAAGTGGGTGTGGCCACGGGCGGAAGCAATGGGCCAGGGGCCCAATCTTGCAGCCAGCCCCTCCCACTCGCCGCCGCCCCACCCCTCCGGCCCAGACCGGAAATGAGGTCAGAGAGGGAAGCCCTGGCGGTGAGAGTCGGCCCAAAAAGCGGCGGCCGTTGGAGGTGGCTGCGGCAGCTGGTGAGGGGGAGGAGTGGGTTGAGAGTGTTGCGGTCCTGGGGGCTAGTACCAGAGGGGATCGGAGCGCCAAGCCGCGGCTGAGCGGCTAAGGGCGTCTTGGGGCTGCGGCAGCTGGCCGGAGGGTGAGGGTGGTGGGGCCTTGCTTTTCAGGGCCCTTGTCCCCATCCCTGGGGATGTGGGTCGGGCCGTCTTCGGGGCCACAGCCCCCTCTTCCTCTTTCTTCTTTCTGCCTCTCTGGGACTGGCGGCAGCGTGAGGGCTTGGTGTCCCGAGCCATGGTCGCCCCAGCCCTCAGGGACGGGCCGGGGCGAGGTGGAGAGTCCTTCGAAACACAGTTTTTTCTCACATATGTGGCCGTGTTGCGACCCGCGATCCCGGAGGGAGCTCAGTCGCCACGACTTGCATTTTTTCAGTTTCTGCCCTAGAAGAGCCGACCCCCGCCCCTGGTGAGCCCAAATGAGAAGTTGCCTCCTGCCTCTCCCACCTCCTACTCCGCCCCTCACTTCCACCCTGCTCCTGTTTCTCCTCTTACTTGCTGTCCACCAGCTGCCCTACCCGTTCCTTCCTGTGCGTGACTCAGCCTCATCTCTACCCGGGTGCGTGCCTGGACGCCGGGTCCTCTCGAGAGTGTGCACCCGCGACTGGAGATGGGGGGGAGCCCTAGGGTTCTTCTGTCACCCACTGTTCGAATTACAGGCTTTGAGGCAGGAAAGGATTCTGCACAAGCATTCGACTACGAGTTGTTTGGTGACTTCGTTCCGTGTTCAAGTTTGTGCTATTCTGCCTGAGGTTTTTATTTGTTATTATTATTATTTTTTTTGTATTTTAGTTGCCTGAGTTTTTAAAGCAGTAATTCTTTATTAGGGAAGTAGATTTAGGCATGCTGTTCCCACTTGTTTCTTTATTTTGGTCTTAGGGACAGTTGTCTCCCAAACCTCAATCATGGCATTTTAATCCACTTTTTTTTTTTTTTCCATTTTTTCCCCTTCTTTTCACAGGTGTTAATAAATCACTTCTTAATGCTTAAAAGAACTTGGTCTTGTTTAAATGTATGTGCCTTTGGACACTTTGAGAAGCTTCGTTTGTATGGTAGTTTTGGAAGTAGATGTCACTATTGCTCCTACAGGTGTGGCAGATAAGCCCCAGGACTGTTTTCCTGTCTTTAAATTCATTGGCATAGGCACAGCGTGAAAACAGGTTTTAGAAAGCCCTTTGCAAAGTGAAAACTGAATGAATGGGAATATGGTGAGAGAGCGGCACCACATAGAATTTTAACATGATATTGAAATACTTTGGGCATACAGGCAAGGGAAAAGTGCTAAAAGTTTAATGTGTATTTAATTAGCTGCTATACAAATTAAACATTTCCCCTTAAGAGGGAATTTTGAAGATTGTTCCTACTACTCTCATTTGTTGAAATGTTTGCCTCTGAAGTGACTCCTGAAGTGTGATGTTTGGTTTGAGGATAAACAGAAAAATAAGAAATTTTGGAAAGCAGTTCAGCCAGAAATCTTAGAAACTTCACCCTATCCCTGTCATTTCAGCTGCTGTTGTATCCTATTTTTGTGTGATTGTGTGGCACTGAAGCACATAACTAGGACGGACATTCGGACATTTATTTTCTGAAGAGTAGGAGAGGGGCTTAAAAATTGTTAATTATTCAAAAATATATGACCTACTGTATAAGGTTCTATACCTGGTAGCTTCCAGGTGGTAGTTGGTACCAGAATGGGTGCAAACTTAGTCTCTTCTCCATTCTGACTTCAAACCTGGGCCACTACAATTTCTTGGATCATGAAAACTGCATTCTTCCTTAAAGGGTATCACTAAGTTGTCTTTCTGTTTCTTTCTGCCATGGTCATTGTCAGCAGTGACCCCAGGCCAAAGAACAGTTTTTCATTCATTCTCAATACCTCGATGAGACCGTGTCCTGCTCTGTGTTTCTGCAACTCTAGTGTGATTTTGAAGTTGTATGTTTTTCTACTCCTGTCTAGTGAGACAATCTCTAATCTTTCTGGATCTCATCATTAGGTAATTCAGTGACAAGTTTAATTGGGGAAAAGTGAGAAGGATCTAGTCCCCCGAATTTGTTTTGGGTCCTGTCCCAGTTGTCATCTGGTGAGTAGGTTTTTGTGCTTAAGAATATGTTGACTTCAGGCGTTTAACAAGGGACAAAACATCTATTTTTAGTGGCTTTAGGAAGTGGTAGGAACAGAATCTAAGTGTAGCCAGGTGAAAGGTGACTTATTTCATTTAGACAGGCAGAACTGTGGACTACCATGATCTGTTTCATCAAATTATTCCGAAACAACAGATCCTTTTCAGGCTTTCTTTTTCTTTTTCTTTTTCTTTTCTTTCTCCCCCCCACCCCCTGCCAAACTTCCTTTTGGCAGATGTGGCCTCATGGATGAGCTGGTACACGACTTAGCCTCAGCCTTGGAGCAGACATCTGAGCAGAATAAGCTTGGTGAGCTGTGGGAGGAGATGGCCCTGAGCCCCCGGCAGCAGAGGAGGCAGCTTCGGAAACGCCGAGGTCGGAAGCGTCGTTCTGACTTCACTCACCTGGCAGAGCATACCTGCTGCTACAGCGAGGCCTCTGAGTCAAGTCTGGATGAGGCCACTAAGGACTGTCGAGAAGTGGCTCCCGTGACCAATTTTAGTGACTCTGATGACACAATGGTGGCCAAACGACACCCAGCTCTCAATGCCATTGTTAAGAGTAAGCAGCATTCTTGGCATGAATCTGACTCCTTTACTGAAAATGCACCTTGTCGACCACTCAGGCGCAGGCGGAAGGTGAAGCGAGTGACATCAGAGGTGGCTGCTAGCCTTCAGCAGAAACTGAAGGTGTCAGATTGGAGCTATGAGAGAGGCTGCAGGTTCAAATCTGCTAAGAAGCAGCGTCTGTCCCGCTGGAAGGAGAATACTCCCTGGACCTCATCAGGCCACGGATTGTGTGAATCAGCAGAAAACAGGACTTTCCTAAGCAAAGCAGGAAGGAAAGAAAGGATGGAGTGTGAAACAGATGAACAAAAACAGGGCTCTGATGAGAACATGTCAGAATGGTGAGATCTCCCTTACTAAGTCAAAGATTTTCCTGGTTAATGTTTCCCAAAGTACACATCCGCAGTCTTAGTGGGTTCTACCTTCTTTCAAACCAGCCACTGTGGTATTGACTTTGAAGACTTCCTTGAATCAGTCAGTAGTTTAGCTTTTTAAGGTACCATTCAAGTGTCTGTTTCTCTGTCAGGAAGGCTATAGAAACAGTTGTTTCTAAAAACTGTTTAAAATGCGTACCTCAAATGCACAGCTAATAATTTTAAAAAACAATTTGTTGCTTATTATGCCATGTAGTTTGTACATAAATATTGTTTTTTAGAACTCAGGTCTCAGCAGAGGCTGGTGTGTGTGTGTGTGTGTGCGTGCGTGTGTGTACATGTGTGTGTGAGAAAGAGAAAATGTTAGCACCAGGCATATGGAGTTTATAAATGTTCCATTAAGTTGCCTGTCCTCATTAAGAATCATGGCTTTAGATACTTTTTGGCTATAATTTTGTTTTCTGCTACTCGTGGTTTGACTATATTGAATTTATTTTTTTATGGCTGACATTCAAATTGTCTGAACACATGGTGGGCTTTGAAAATAACAGTACCGAGTCCCATTAGTCTTACATCAGATGTGATCAAGCCAGAAAAATTTGTCTCTAATGGGTACGTGTTTAGAAATGTAAGTGTAGTTTTGGTGACATTTTTTAGCTTTTACATCTCAGATAGTCCTAGGAACATTGATACCCCCCAGCTTGATACTTTAATGTTATTAATCTTAATCTGTGATTATCTTTTACTTAATAGCGAGGATGCCATTGGTGTTTTGGATGGGACAATTCTTTATGGTGCATTGCAGAATATTTAGCATCTCTGCGTTGTTCACACCCCTTTTTCATTGTATCAACCCAAAAGCCTCCAGGGGTGATCCCTAGGTGGATTGAGTACTCCCTGTTGAGAACCAGTGTATTCTATTATTGTTAATATTAGTTGACATTTATTAAGCACTTAACTATGGGCCAGGCACTGTACTATGAACTTAACATATATTCTTATTTAATGTTCACAATTCCACTATATGGTGGATACCACTATTTGTATTTATAGAAGGGAAGCTGAGGTTATAAGAGCTTACATAATTTGCCTAAGGTCACCCAGTGCCAAAACGGGGAATCAAGCCTGATTCCAAAGCTCATTCGTAACCACCACGTTCTGCTGCCCTTTGAGTTGTTCTGTCTTAATTTAACTTTCCCAGCTGTAGAACAGATGACCTTTCTGAAGTTTATCTTAAAAACAAAGACATTAATCTTAGGAACTCTGAGGTGAGGCTGTGTCAGTAACAGGAAAAGCTGCTTAGGTCTGTTTACCTGTACCTTTCATGGATGGTTTTTAATCCAGCTTTTAAACTTTTTCTTATTAACTTTATATTTGCCAGTCTGCAGACTATATTGAGATAGGCTCATATTTTGACTTTCCTAATTTTCCTCTAATGCCTCCTTCCTTCTAAGGTCTATTTACAGAATTTATATGTATTTATTTGGATTATAAAGGTATTTATTTTCCTCATCAGACTATTTTTAATCAAACAAGAAATGCTTAGTCAACTTGTAGCCTTTCACACTATTGAAACCCTCTACTGAGATATTCAAGTTTGTTTTAATATTGAGCATATATACCAAATAGAATTCTTCTTAGTATTGAGAATGGTGATTTTAACAGTAGCCTTTTGGGATAATAGCTTTGTGTATGTTTCTTCCCCATAATTTCTTATTAAACTACGACATAACTGTATGTGAAAGAGAGACTATTAACTCTGTCTGCTCTGAGATAACAGCTCAAGTGTGGCTCCAGATGCAGGGCCTGTAATCTAGCATGAGATGCTTCACTCTTTTCTGTTCCTTCTTACTCCAGACACATCTATTGCACATTCTAGTCAGGATGTAATAATATAAATTCTCGTTACCTGAGAGTCTGGATAAAATTAAGTGGATGGGAATTCTTGTGAAATTCTTCCTCTTTTCAAATTGAGGAGACCTCATTCACCCATTTGGGCTATTACCCTGGCCCCTCACTTGAGAGTTCTTTCAATATGTAGATGCTAAAGGGCTTGTAGCTGTGAAGGAATAATGGGCGGAGTGGTGGCACACATGGCATGAGGAAAGTTCTTTAAAATCTTCTAGTTATTTAGGAGTTCTAAATTCCCCTTGACTTGTCTCGATTCATCTGTAGTTACAAACAGAAGTGCTTTGTATTTTTTTTCCCCTAAATCCATTCTGTGGGAGAGGGGGTGATTCTTACTCTTTGACCGCATGTTGTGTTCAGCCTCTCTTCAAGAGGAGAGTGGAACTAAAATCTCCCTTAATTGTTAGGCACACCTTTAAAAAGGGCTAGCATTAGAGTGTAAGTAGATAGTAGTTTATGATTTGGATATTATACTGTCTTGGTCAGTTTGTTAATTCTGTCAATAATTTTCTACTTTTTTGTTTCCCCTGCATTTTTAAAAGAAATACTTTCAAGAATCTTCTTGGTTACCCTTTCATAAATCTACTTGGATGTGCCACTGTTCACATACAGATCAAAATGTAGAATTTTACTTTTTAGCAGTGATATTGAGGGTTGTCAGAGTAATGATCCACGTTGTAAGATTATTAAGATGAAGTTGATTGTTAAGCTTAGCTTAGCCTGGTCAATGGTAGAGTTTTGGGGTTTTTTTTTAAAGCATGTTTTAGGTGTTTTGGATTTGAAAATGTATGTCTCAATCAGCCTATTTCTAATTTCCTTAAACTCACTGTTTGTGAACTAAACATGGAGTAGTTATAGACTTCATCAATATTTGTTTGCTTTTCTGTTTCTGGTCTTCCTTTAATATTACACCAGCCAATCCCTCACAAGTTTTGAGGAACTAAAAATGGTTATGGTATAATAGTTTTTTCCTACTTGCATAGAGATCAAACTTACTTTAATATTTTTCTGTGTATGTGTATTTATGAGTATTCTAAAGTAGAACAATTACTGTAAAATTATTTTCTACTGATCTTTATTTAAATTGTCTATATAGCAGCTATTAATAGCTATTAGCTATTAGGTGACTGTAGCCTAATTTTGCTCTATTCTTTACTAACACATCATTTGTTTGTTCCCCTTGAATATAGTTTAGCTTCTTTTTTTTTCATAAGTGAATTGGTTGGGTGATGGCCAGAAGTCACATTCAGGAGCCTTCCTAAGGTGATGTATTAGAGGCTGATCTCACAGGAAAGAAAATATTCTCCTCTCTTGGAAGGCAAGTGACAGAGATAGAGTGCTAAACCTACCCCCTCCTTCTCCAGCCCAGGCTGACCTTCTGCGGCCCCTTGGTGCCTCTTGTTTTCTTATTTTTATAGAAAATCAATATCCCTTCTGACACAAACAATAGCTCAGAAGCAAGAATAAATGGGAGAAAGCTGAGATCTCTGTCCATCACCTCTCACTTTAACTCCCCCAAACTCTTTAATTATGAGTGTGCTTTGCTCCAGGTGTTTGTGACAGTGAAATTGCTAAATGAGGACCGTTTTAACCAAAGATTGGGTGATCAATAACACTCTATAGCAGTAGCTTGTTGGATCAATAGCATTCATTATTTCATGGTTAAGGTAAGTAGCCTCCTTTGCAAGTGGAGGTCATTAATCAGGGGTTCCTGGAGCTGTGTAAAAGAATATGTATGGTAGGTGGGGGTGTTCTGATTTCTATTCTGTAAGTAGGGATGCTGACCAAGAGTGTATTTACTATTGTTGCAGTTGGTAGTATTGCATGTGAGATTCTGGAATCTAGCATAGTGTGCTTATATGGATATATTCACAGTTCTGCTAGTATCCTTAGGGACAACTGAAAAACACACCTTGGGAGGTAGATATGATACTATTGTACTTGAAGGTCTATATCTTGAAAGAAACATCCATCTCTTGAAAGAGTCTACCTCTTAAAAGAAATATTGGGATTATTCCATGTGGCTCCACAGGACAGAACTCAGGAATAGAAAGTACAGAGTGTTAAATGTTGCTGTGGATAAAAAATAGCATTCTAAAAATTAGGACTCTGTAAAAATGAAGTGAATTGTTTCACCATGTAATGCGTAATGACTTCTAGATAAGTCGGGGGGATTCAAACATGGGCTTTCTGACTGCTTACTTAGTTGCTGTGGAGTTGAGAGGGTTGAACGGAAGACTTCTGAAATCCCTTGTAACACTGAGATGCCGTGATTCTTTTCAGTCATAGTCTACCTCCCACCATTGTAACATCTTAACTGGTAAGTAGCCTCAACTGCCCACTTGAATTCTTGTGGTTTCCACTGGCAGTCATCTTCAAAGATTCGTTCTTTCTCTGAACTTTTAGAATGATATTCCCTTTTCTCTTATTTTGCAGAATTTGTTCAAAGGCCTCTTGGTATTTGCCAGCAAGGGTGCATAGATTACCATTGGTCCCCTTCTCTACTCCCATGGACATAGGTAACATGCCATTCTCAGATCTACAACTGGCCAAGAGAATATGCAGAGCCCCTAGCCCAGTGCTCCCAGTGCTACTGGGAAGCTTTTATCTCATACAGCTATGCTGGGCTGAGATAGGATCATCCAACCCTCACTGCCTGATTCTGACCCCATTCCAGGAGTGTGCCATAAATGAAGGTGTAGAAAACACAACAGTCCCCAGAATGTACTATCTCCAGAATGCACTTCTCTACCCATGTCAACTGGAATCTTTATTCTTGAAGACTGTGCTTTCTAGGACTCAATACCCTATAATTGCTCCTTACCCTCAAACACAGATACACACAGAAAACACTAAGCTTCCCTATCTAAGTGTATTCTGGGAGTTAGAGCCACCAAATAGAAACTGAAAGATACTCAGGCCAGGTGTGATGGCTCACGCCTGTAATCCCAGCACTTTGGGAAGCCGAGGCGGGTGGATCACAAGGTCAGAAGATCAAGACCATCCTGGCTAACATGGTGAAACTCCGACTCTACTAAAAATACAAAAAAGTTAGCCGG